AGGAATGGGCAGAAGCCCCATCGAGGACATAGTTGGGGTCATGCAACAATGAATTAGAAGAGAAGAAACTTCTAGAAACGCATACTGGAGTGGGCAGCATTCGACTCTGGGTTATTCCAAAGAGTGATTGCCAAGGAAAATGAGGTCCCAGCCCAGACCACCTCCCAGAGACACTCACCTCCCAGTGGACTCCATCTGGCACGGGGGAGAGTACTTCAACGTCCAGCAGGTGCTCCAAGATCCGGCTACCGAAACCCATGTCCTGGAGACAGTGGGGTGGGAGGTCACATCTGCTCTGTCACAGTCAGCAACCCCAACTACAACCTTCCAGAAGGGCACCTGCTGTGTGCTGGACTAAGGCTTCACATCTACTCATTTGATCTTCACAACACCACAGTGACTTGATGGAAAGAGGCATAAGGCAAGTGCGGTCAAATGCTAATTATCGACTCGGGTGGTGAGTGTGTGGCTATCTGCTGTAATATTCCTTGCATTTTCCTGTTAGGTTTGAAATTTTGCATGATTAAATGATGGGGAGTGAGCAGCCAGCTGGTGGCCTGGTGGTTAAGGCAGCTGGATCCCACATGGCCAACTGTGCAGTTCAAGTACGTGTGCATGCTCAAAATCCCAAGAGGAGAATGGAGGAATAGAGACTGCAGCGTGGCCATTCCCCCCAGTGTTTTCTCGCTTTCCTTCTCTGTCTGTCTCTCTAGCAAGCACACATGCCAAGTAGCAAATTAAAATATATATATAACATGGCTGACCACAGTTCAAGTCCCAGTCCTGAGGGCTTCAAAAACACACCAAGGATGTGCATGTATCCTGACAGGATGGAGAAGTGCAGGGAAGGGAATTAAAAAAAAAAGACTGCAGTGTGACCACGCCCTGTGGGGGTGCTTTTGCTCTCTCATGCGCATGCTCTCTCTGGCAAGCACACGCATCCTCTGACAATTAAAAAACAAATGGGAAAAAAATAACTCTGTGAGACTAACCCTCTTATCCTCATGTACAGGTGAGGAGGCCGGATGGAAAAAGGGATGGAACTTGCCCAAGGTCACACAGCTGGCAGGCAAGGGGGCTGGGAGTTAGATGGTCCCCAGTCTGACTCCCAACACAACCCGAGCTGTGAATTGTCAACAAGGGCACAGAGGGGAGGATGAAGCACCCAGGAAACCTATGGGCAGCTGGGAAACAAGGCCTGGTGGGCCCTTCCCTCTTCATTCTGGACAACAGGGATAAGTTTGTAGCATGTCCTCTGCAGTGTTCTCCGGGACAAGTAGCAAGCGTCCGCACTGGCACCAGCTACTCACTGGCCTTTGGCTGCCACAGACCCCTGAGCACACCCCTCTAAGCCTGAGATCCCTGCTGGGCTGGGAGAAGATTGCTACCCAACAGCATGCTAATGGGCAGTCCTGTCATCAGCCCGGACCCATGGCGGGACGCCCAGACAAGGTCTGGTCCTGCTGCCCACACCTCCCTCCATCCACCCCACGGAGAAGAGCACTGACAGGGCCACTCCTCCACACTGCAGCTGCTTCAGAAGGGCTAGAGCCCTGCTTCCAAGGGCTCCGGGACAGGGCATGCTTCATCATCGGTTTCTGCCAACCACAATGGCTCTGCACCTTCCCTTCCTGCTCTGTGGCTTTCTTTCTTTGTTGGTGACATTTTGCTTTCAGTTTGAGTTCTACTCCACTTACTGCAGCTGCCATCTGCCTCCTAAGCCCATGGCTCTGCGAGGGGCAGGCGCACAGCCCCCTAATTCCTCCACACCCCCTCGCATCATCGCTCTTCATCCCTGACCTCTCCCGCTAATCCCTCCCCATGGATCCGCCCCCTCCAAACAGATGGAGGGCAGTTTCGGGAGGGAATGCCTGCCAGGAAGCACCCGAACTGCTCCCTCAGACACAGACCTGGCAAACACGACCGGGTTCCTGCAGGCTGGGGGGAAAGTCTGGGACAGAGAACCCATGGACGCTGGCTGGCACTCCAGCACAAAGCCTCAACCATCGAAATGAACCCACGCCTCCCTTCTGTCCAGAGCCTAGGACTGGGTCCTCGCCACAGCTCAGGGATCCCAAAAACCCAGACCCACCAGTTTCTAATCTCCGAGATCCC